CCTCCCCCAGAAAGGGAAGGCTTCATTCCTGGGATTCCTTGCGAGGGGTGGGGGGGGGTTGGCTAGGTGGTTAAAAATAAGTGCCTCTCCCACATCTCCTAGCTTCCCCTACACGCCATCCTTGAGGCAGGTGGGGCAGGGCTCGTTAGCTCCATTACACAGGGAGGGAAACTGAGGCTTGGGGATGTTCAGTGACTCACCCCGGATACCCAGCTATGACGTGGCCCATTGGGCCTCCTAGCCCCGCTCCCAGGGCTTCCTGGAGTGAGGTCCTCCGCCACAGGGGAGGCTACTAAAACAGACTGTTGATGCTCTGTCGCTCCTGGGCACCTGCTACTTCCCCTTCTGACCAAAGAAACCAGACCCAGGCTCAGTTTTGCAGGCCAGGGGTATCTGGCTAGAGCTGATGGTTTCATTTTCATCATACTTGTGTTTAGCGTTGCCCTCTCTTTATGACCAATGATTCTGTTGTCTTTTAAGATTTTATTTATTTGAGAGAGAGCAATCATGAGCTGAGGGGAGGGGCAGAGGGAGAGGGAGAAGCGAGCAGAGAGCCCGATGCGGGGCTTGATCCCAGGACCTTGAGATCATGACCTGAGCCAAAGGCAGACGCTTAACCTACGGAGCCACCCAGACACCCCAGATGATTCTGTTTTTTATTCATGATAGTGACATAAAGGTTCCTTTTAAAAATCTGGAGTTAAAAAAAAAACAAAGGTGCCTTGATTTAAAATACTGAATAAACCATCATCTGGGTAGTTCTTAGACGTGGCAGGACTCATGGGCAATCACTGCCCTTCAGGAGGGCCTCACTAGGATGCCTGGGTGGCTCAGTGGGTTAAGCCTCTGCCTTCAGCTCAGGTCATGATCCCAGGGTCCTGGGATCGAGCCCTGCATCGGGCTCTCTGCTCAGCGGGGAGTCTGCTTCCTCCTCTCTCTCTCTGCCTGCCTCTCTGCCTGCTTGTGATCTCTGTCTGTCAAATAAATAAACAGAATCTTTAAGAAGGGCCTCACTAAGTCTGAGGCCCCGACCAGCTGGAGACACGTTCTGGACCGAGAATCTTCACAAAACCCATAGCTGGTACATGTCAGCAGCTGACATGTAAAGCAGAATCCTGGTTGGAGAAACCAATCCTCGTTTCTCCAGAACACTGACTTCTATCAGGGACCCAGGTAGCCGGGCATCATCTCCTTTCCCATCCCCCATCAGCCGCGACCTCTCAGACTGGCCGAGGCAGAGGTCCTTCTGCCACCCGGCCCATCACTGAGACAACAGTGGGCACATGGAGCCATTTGGCTCTGGGTAACATCTCTCTTTAGCCACTTGAATTGGTCGGTTGGTGGATGAGAAAGAGGAACGAGCAATGGGTTTCCAGCACACAAGGTCTTTGGAGGGCAACAGGGCTCTTGTTTTCTGAAGGCCCTGAGCGCCGAGGAAGCCCCCTGCCTGGTGCGGTCGCTGGCTGGAACAGGTGGGGAGGAGGCGAGGGGCCACTGCGGATGATGCCTTGTGTATTGTAGGCACTCCAGTGACGTGATTTCGTGTCCTCCCAACAGCCTAATGAGGTGGGCACTGTTCTCCTCTTTCGGATGAAGAAAATAGGCCCAGAGAGGTCATTTGCCTGAGGTCACACAGCTAGGAAGGGGCAGCACTGGAATTCCCACAGATAGGCCTTGCCCTGACTGCCCCGAGGAGGACCGTGGGAAGACGCCTGTCCAGAGCATCGCCCCCCAGCACCCCTAAGACGCAAGGGCCAATCCCAAACGAGGCAGCCTCTCTCCAGAGGCAGTAAGCTGAGACTTTCCTTCTTAAAATGGATCGAGGGCCCCAGCTGTCATTCTTAATGACAGAAATGAGTCAGCCGGCCACTCCCCCGTCCAGCTTTCCGGAATAGCCTGGAATGAAAGGTTACAGTTTCCCAAAGAAAGAGGAAGGGGGTGGGGGGAAATAAAGCCAATGGCTGATGAATTGTAAGTCATGCTCTAAAGGTATCAGAAGGTTCGAGAACCCATTGCCTTGGATTCTGCAAGCTTTCAGCCTGAGGCTTTTGATGCCTGCGAGGAAAGAGATGAACCTAAAATGAGACCACAGAGGTTCAAATCCCGCCTCTGCCCTTTGCAAGCTGTGTGGCCTTCAACAATGACTGAAGCCTCTCTGAGCCCCATCTGAAGTTCCCGATGATGAGCCTGCCCCCCCTCCCGCCCCCGGGGTTCTGAGGTATACATGAGCTAGGACAGGAGTAAAAGCAGATAGTACAAGGCGAGCATAGAGTGCTTGGAAATACCGCCTGCTTCTGAGATTCTCACGATTCTCCCGGCGGGGTGGGGGTGGGATGGGGGGTTGCTGTGAGGCCGGGACTTGCAAGTTAACAGCCAGAGCAGGCGGCACAGCTGAGTGGTCTCAGGACATCCTCCAGCCAAGGACGCAGAAACCAGGGCTGTCCTCCCCTTGCTTGTATGACTCAGGGCAGATCCCCACCCTGTCCGGGCACTTTGTGGAAGGAGTGGGACTGAACCCTGATCGGGGTTCCCCAAAGCCCCTGTGACACTGCCAGCAATTTCGGCTCTGTGGTCTGAATTCTCATCCGTGTCACTGTTTTCTTTCAATGGGAGCTTTTTAAAGCAAAGTAGCGCCCTGGAAGGACAGGGGCTTGGGGCTGCTCTCGGGAGCGGAAGGCTGGCCTCACTCGCCATAAATGGGTGACCCCGCGGATGGCACAGAAGAGACAGCGGTAGCAGGGCCAGCTGGAGCCGGTGCCTGCGGGGCCCTGGGCCTGGTCAGACGGGGATTGGCGCGTGTCAGAGACGCGTTCCAGCCAGACTGACGGCTTGTGCTGGTGGCAGACACCAAGACTGGGAGAGGAGTGGGTCCCCCTGCTGGGGGTGATTCTGTCCTCTCTGATGCCCGCCCAGTCTGCACAAGCCTGAAACGGGCTTAAGTGTGAACCGCTGCCTTGGAGATGTCTGGAGTGAGCCCTGCTCTCGGGGCACCAGCACTAACCGCCACAGGGAACCCCAGGGGTTCTTTGGAGCGGAAGATTAGCGGAAGGTGGATTCCTAGTGGGATGCAAGGGGAAGCCGTGGATGCCTTTCTAGAGGGCACAGCTCACCAGTGCTCTGGACTTGGCCCGTGTCATCAGTGGAAGTGAGGGAAGGTCTCCGCAGTGGGAGAGGGTGTTCCCAGCTGGCCTCGAGAGGGTGAATCCGGCAGGTAGCGCAAGACACTTGGCTGACTTGGCCCTTCCTCCTCTCTCCCTCTGTGTGTCCACCATGGCCTGCCTTCTTGCTCCCTTCCCCCACCCCGTACCAAACTAGGGCCTGCTGTGCCCTCATTGCCAGCCTGCCGCTTCGTGCACAGTCTTCCCGCGCTCTGGGCTCCCTCCGGCCCCTGTGCGCCTCCCTGTGGGGTGTCTTACCTTGGGCTGCGAATGCCCACCAGGTTGTGTCTCAAAAGCATGGCTGCATGTATCGCGGGGTCCCCAGCACCCAGCTTAGGACCTGGCACGCAGGAGGGATGAAATTAGGTAGTGCTGAAAATCTCGCCCCGTCTTACCGTGTCTGAGCCTTAATGTCTGTGTAAGATGAAAATCCCAATAGTATGTCATTCCAGGAGTTTTAGGAGGGCTGAATGACATGGTGTGTGTAACGCTGCCTCTCAGGTCTGCTCTCCCAGGAGCAGACCCTGGGACAAAGGTTCAAGTGCAAGTCGATTATTGGGGAAGTGATCCCAGGAACTACCAGGAGGGAGTGGGTCAGTGAGACAGGAAAGGGTTCTGTCATCCAGGAGGTCCCTGCAGCCCTGAGCTCAGTGCTCAGTCCTGCTCCAGAACTCCAGGGGCTGGGACAGGTGGGGAGTCAGCTGCGGGGTGCAGGAGCTGGGGTGCTGACCCACCACCTTCCTGGTCGTCAGTGGTTGGAAGGCAGCTCTGGGGAGACGTGGGCTCTGCCTGCACTTGCAGCCCGGGAGCTGGGTGGGCTTTGGAGGCAGGTCCCCCACAGGTGGAAGCCACCAGATCAGCGTGCCCTCATGGGGGTGAGGACCATCGGGGTGGTGGTGGTGGCCACCTGATAGTGACAGTTTCTACCATTGTCACCATTCCAGCGCCAGCTGCACCTATCACTTGGCTTCTCTGAACCTTGGGGAAATGAGCAGTTCTCAACAGAAGCTGTTCTGCCCCCTCAATGTGCCCCTTGGAAGTGGGGCGAGGGTACATTTTTCATTGTCACCGTGCCCCGGAACGCCACTGGCATTAGTGTTTGGGGACCAGGGATGCTGCTCCCAGTCTTGCAGTGCCCAGAATGACCTCCCGCCCCGGAGAACTGTTCTGCCCCAAATGTCTGTGAATGATAGCGCATGTTGCATATCTGACACACAAGTTTTAATTGGTGCGCGATGACGTTTGCAGAACGTGTAGTCGGAGCTGGCTATGGAGGGGCAGAGAGTTAGGGCGGGTGGCTAGGCCTGGGAGTTTAAGATACTGCAGAGCCTCTGGCACCCAGCTAGACACAGAAAGTGAAGGGCCTGGGAAATGTGGCAGTGTGGACGATGCCATGTCCCGGAAGGACCAGCGCAGCAGGGCTGCTGAATGGCTTGGCTGAGGCCACAGCCTGCGAAGCATTTTCCGGGCAAGGTGGGAGGTGTTGCCAAGCCCTGCCCACTGCCCCGAGCTTGCTCAGCTGCCCTGGGGCTCAGGTCGGCCAGCAGACCCTGCCTGACCCCTGAGCAAGCCCTCCCTCCTTGGGTACCAGGATGCGCCTCCTCCCTCCAAGGAATGGACCATCCTTCCTCTCCCAAATGAAATTGCACTGGCTGTCCAGTCCAGGGTCCTTAGAAATCCACCAAATTCATTATAAAGAGTTAATAAAAGTTGTAGGACAACATGCCCAGCCTGCGTCTGTCTGGGGTTTCTGATGGGAGGGAGAAAGGCTGAGGCCACTGTATAGGGTGACAGTGGGATGGTGCTTCTGTGCTGGTAACACCCCTTTTCCCTTCTCGTTAGGCCTGCTTCCCCCAAAAGCTCCATGCCAACAGAGAGGTTTCCGTCCAGACCCAGGAGGGTGGGACAGAGAGATTGAAACTGAGAGCGGAGGCCCAGAAGGCCTTTGCCCCTGCCCGAGGGGAAAGGCAAGGGCATCTGAAGACCTCCCCCGCCCGCAGCGTCGCACACACAGCCTTGCCTTGGCTTATGACCTTTCGCAGTTGCGATGGATGTTTACAAGAACCCAGCCAGAGCCTGCCTCGCCGCTCCTCACCCCCGGCTGCACCTGCTTCTCCCACTTAATCTTCCTAGAGAATACTTCAAAGTGCGGACACACACGGAAGCCACTCCCAGCTCCTTCTGAAGCCCGCGGAGCCCGCAACCCAGCCGGCTTGGGCCTCAGGCTGGTCTTAGATGCAATGACTAGTTCAGGGAGTAAGTCAGAAGGAAAAGAAGCCACAGACGGTGTCAGAGGCCGAGGGCCGGGTGTGACTTATTCAAGTTGCTGCTTCTTCATCAAGTTGCCCGATCTGAGACATCATGCCGGGGGAATGCCGCGTCGCCCCTCTGGCCGGAAATATTTTTGAAAATGTGAGTGGTATGCATACTTGATGTTGATAAACCTGTAAAAGCAATACTTAGGAGGCTGACTTCTTTCAATTAAAACATGTATGCAACTCCAGCCTGTGGGGGCCTTGCCTCTTTTTTTTTTTTTCCCCTTTTTCTTTTTTTTGAGATCTGGCGAAGGAGCCGTTAGGCAGGACCTCTCATTCCACAAAGGGCAGAAGAGTCCGAGAGGAAGGGAAGGAACAGGTGAATTTGGGTCGACCTGCAATTTCATCAGAGCGTAGCCGTGGTTCTCCATTCTGCCAGTGCCCTGTGATCCTCAGAGCACCCCCACATACACACCGAAGTTAACAAGGCACAATGACTGGCTCCGTTGTGTGAGTGAGGTCACAGGTGAGGGAGGGTCATGCACCCACAGAACTCCAGAGAAAAAACAGCCCCAGCACCCCTTGTCTTTCTGTGCTAAGAAAGGGTGCCAAGAGCCGTGTACAGAACACACCTGAGAGGCCCAGGAAGAGAGGTGTGCGGCCAAAGGGAGAGGTTTCTGATGGGGGAGAGGCCTGGGGGGAAAGCTGAGCATTTATTGAAAAAATGTATTAAAATTGGAATCATGCCATCAACATACAGCATGACTCCGGACAGATGCCCTGATTCCTCTGGGGATCGCTCCTCCCACCCGGCAAATTGGGAGAGCAGTCCCAGCAACACGGTGCCTGTGCCTGTGCAGACCCACCCCTCCACGGAAACCAAAAGGCGAGTGTGCATCTCCACTCAGAGCCTCCTCTGCAGGGGTGTGGGCTTAGGCAAGTCACATCTGTGAAATGGGAACAGTAATTGACGTACCTCATAAGATGACTTTGTGCTAATAATTACAAAGGTGCCCCACTGGGGTGACATGGCTCTGCATCAGGACTCCCAGCTTGGCAAGCAGAGTCCACACTGATTTGGAGCCCCCATTTACCCCCTTCTTTAGGTACCTTTGTGCAGTGCACGGACCACCCAACAATGCCAGACAGCCCTGCCTAGGGAATTTTTTTTTAATTTACTAAAATACAACACTTTCCAGAGCAGGAGCTTTGAGCATTGTATTGAGTACCTCACTGTGTTCTCTGTGCATATTTGTGGAATGAGCAAAGCATATAAGCAAAGTTGTTATGAGGATCATTCATTCCACAAACATTTATTGAGCACTTACTGTGTTCAGGCACCTTGGAAGGTACAGAGGGCACAGCAGTGAACAAAGCAGACAGGTGAGCTGCCCTCTGGAGCTCACATCCTAGGACAGGAGCAGACAACACAACAAATAAGCATGAAAACGAGAAACTAATGACCAGTTTGGAGAGTGGGGGTGGGGTGTCTATTTGATAGGGTGGTCTGGTAGACCTTCCTGAGGACCTGTCCTTTAAACCGAGTCCTACAGGATCAGAAGTTGCCCACTATGAAGGGCCTGGGAAGAACATTCCAGGCACAGGCAGAAACAAAACACACATTCATACGTAATAAGGACAGCTAACAAGTATTGAGCTGTATGCCAGGCTCTTGCTGTCAGTGTCTTAACTCCTTGAATCTCTGCATAACAAAGAGGAACTATAATTATGCCCATTTTATATACGATGAGACTGAGGCACGAGAAGTAATTTGCACAAGTGGTGAGCTGGGCACTGAGCCCACGTGATCTAGCTCTGGAGTCTGCTGCTGGCCCTAGACCAGCTTAAGGGCTTAATAAGGTACTGGCACAAAGTGGTGGTTGCTGGTGCTTACTGAACACCTACTATGTCCCTTCCACTGTGAAGCACCTTACAGGTAGCAACTTATTTAATAAGCGATAGCCATCGTATATTAAGTCAGAACTACGAATAATCACGGCCTCTGACTCAGACCGGAAGCAGTACGTGCCCCTGTGCCCTCCCCATCCAGCTGGGGGGTGCTCGCCCCTGCGGCTGCACACATGGGCGTCCACACGATCCACAAATGCGGGCACACCCTGAGGAGTAATGCCCATGCTCTTTAAAACCCAAGCCTGGGTCAGAGCGCCTGGTGCCCTCAGCAGCGGGGCCGCGGCAGAAGGCAACACCCGTCTCTGCCAGGACTGCCAACCCAGCAGTTGGGTCCAAATCCCTCCGAACCTCCTGACCCCTGACTCCCACTTTCGGGAAAGAGGAGGAGAGTCTGGGAACCGGGCGTCAGGGCTGGTGCGCTAGAGCAGAGCAGACTGCTCCCGCTGCCACCGGGAGAAAGCCAGCGTGACCCACCTTGGGACTTCTGACCAAGCAGGCTACGCTCCAGTGAAAACAACAGCTGAGCTGCAGCTCTCAGTGCAGACCACAAAGCTCCCAGGTCCCTTCCAGGCTCACCGTGGCCAAGGCAAGATGCCAGCCCGACTACGAAATGGCTCCCAGGATAGAACGGCGAGTCAGAGAGAGGCAGAGGGAAACAAACCCCCTGCAAGGCTTACGGTGCATCACCTTGCTGGTCCCTAGATATGAATTTGCCGCTAAAGCTCGGGATGCCGTAGGAAGGGCTTCTCCAAAGAGACAGGACTTGGGCCATGGTGGACTCCGCCGGGGGGGCGGGGGGCTGGGGTGTGGGTGGTAGGACAGCCACGGCCCCCTGTCCCATTCCAGAAAGAATGTGGAGCAAGTGATGCCATGTGACTCCCAAGGATGGTTTATAGAAAGGATTCTTCTCTCTCTGGTCTCTGTGTCCCTCTTCCATTTCGGATGATCGCCCTTCAACCCAGCCGCCACGCGATGAGGAAGCCCAAACCAGCCCACGTGGAGAAGTGCCCCCTCTGTGGTCGGTTCCTTAGAGGAACCAAAGCCCCGGCCCCCCCCACCAGCCAGCACGCCGCCCCTGCTGACACGGAGTGAGGCTGAGATGTGCTGTCCCCACCGAGCCCAGCCCACAGTGACCGGCCCGGGAGCAGAATCAAGGCATGTGTCGTTTTAAGTCCCTGCATCTTGAGGGGAGTATGTGGTGCATTTGATAAACGAACAGCGGGCGCCCCAAAACGGTCATCAAGGTATAAACTCAAATGGTGGACGTGCCCATGAGATTAAGTGAGCCCTTTATAATGTAGTGAAACACAACACAAGAAATGAAGGCTGAGAGGCAGGTGTGGCTCCAGCCCCCTCGCCCTTCCCCTCTCCATTAGTGTACCGTCCGCTCTTTCCAGCTAAAGTCCGGTGTGTCTCTGCCAGGCCAAGCTTTGGGCTCAACGAAGTTAGTGCAAAACAGTGGGTCCAGCAGACACGAAGCAGCTGCCACAGAATGCAGAATCCCGGCCTGTCACAGTTTGGGAAAGGAGCTGGCGGGGCGGCCACGGCTGTCCGCACAGCACGCAGTGTACCCCTATTAGGAGTGCAGTGTGGAGAAGTGCCTCTCTCCCGGGCCAGCAGGGACCTGGGGGGACGGAGATGGGGATGCCCCACTCCTCTACTCTGGCCTGCCTACGCTGTAGAGTGTCCCGCAGGGCCTGCCTCAGGGTTCCTGGGTGGACCGCAGTGGCCACCGGGCACCCACCCCGTCTGCGGGGCTGTCATCGACCTGGGCCCCATGGGGGCCTGGAGCTGGGCCCTCAGAGCAGGTCCTCCTCGAAGCTGGGTGGGGGCCGACCCTGAGCCGGCAGGGCTGGGCGCCAGGCTGCTTGGCTCGTGGGCCCAAGGACAACTGTGTCCACAGATAACCAGGTCAAGGTCCAGTGTGGTCAGCGTCCTCTGAGAATGTGCTGTGAGAGATCAGGAGAAGGGCTGAGTCAGAAAGTTTCAGGAGGGGGCAGCTGGACCCACGGACAGGGCGCTGTTGAGATTGGGGAGGACGTGGCATTGGAGGAGGGGGACATCACAGGTTGGGGGAGCACAGAAGTGGGGGGGACAGTCATTGGCACAGAAACGCGTAGAGCAAATTCCTATAAGACCATGCAGGGCAGGCGGCAGGGGTGGCTGGGGGGACCTCTATGGAAGCTCTTGCCCAAACTAAGGCCTGTGGATGTCTGACCACCCCCCATGCTCCATCCTTCCCCCACCTCTCCAGGCCTGGCCACAGACAGGAGGCTCAGGGTCCAGTCCCCAAAGCCTTTAAAGACACCTCCGTCAATCACAGCAGGAGGCCGCAGATGGTGCACATCCCGCGGTGCTCACCCAGCAGCCACCCCCCAGTTATCCCCGTCCAAGCCCACCTCGGGTAGCTCGTCCCAGGCATCCCAGAGCTCATCTGAGGCTGATCCTTGAGTCCAGCTGCTGTAGGTGTTCATGGACACCAAACGGGATGGTGGGCGTCCACATCCTGAGATGTCCATGGCAGGCCAGTTAGAGGAGAGAAGGGGACCCCCCAATTCCCACCTACCACCCAGCCTAGAACCTTGGAGACCTCCCACCCAGCAGAACCAGACCAGGGCGGGGATATGGGGATTGCAGAGACCTTGAAGTCCTGAGACCCCTTTCAGTAGACCGGGTTCTGCTCTAGACCTCAAAAAAGTTAGTTAGCTTCTCTGGGCCTCATTCTCCTCATCTGTAAAATGGGTCCTATAAATTCTAGCCCAGAAGATATGAGGGATTATGTAGGTGAAAGTGCCTTGAGAGAGTATAAAGTGCTGATATCAGACATTGGACACTGTGGTGACAGAATAACACATAAATTTGAACCATATGAAACTGCTAAATTTGCCAGGTCCAGAATCACAGAATTTAAGTGATTTCCTATCATTCACCCTAATACACTGGGCATTTTCAGGCACCAGCCACTGTTCCAAGATTAACTTGAACCTCACAAAACTGCTTGGGGTAAATATTATCACTCCCGTTTTACAGACAAAGAAACTGAGGCCAGCACGGCAAAGTTTGCTCATCTAAGATCCCACACTGGTGAGGGTGAGAGCAGGATTTGGGCTCAGGGCTCACAGGAGCTGCGCCCCTGGAGAGCTGGTGTCTCTCCGCCCACAGAGGGACCAAGACTTACGCCAGTGTCTCCACGTGAGGGCACTTTCTCAGGCTGGCGGCGAGCTGCTGGGCCCCGGCGGCCGTGAACTTGTTATACTGGACACTAGAGAGGGAAACCCATCCTGGGGGCCTGGCCCTTGCTCAGGGCCATCAGGCCCCAGACCAAGGCTGTCCCCACGCTCTCAAAGAGCAGCCCTTTCCAGCCTGGCAGCAGGAGACCCCGCAGTCCCCCCAAGCCACAGACCCCTGCCACCCACTGTCCACACTCACTCCAACACCCGGAGGGACACCATGTCTGGAAGCACGTGTGCCAGGCTCTCCGCTCCCACATCACAGATGCTGTTATTGTACACGCTGCAGGAAACAGAGGTCAGGGTCCATGGGGATCCACGCCCAGCCAGATTTTAGGCCCATTTTGCAGAGGGAAAAACGGGCCCAGAGTCCAGGGAAAGCAACAGGAGCAAGCGGAAGCAGCTTCTTGGCTGAGATTTCCCAAGTTCAAATCCCAGCTGCAGGGCTAGCTGCCTGTGTGACCTTTGGCCAAGTTGCTTAACTCCTGTGTGACTCAGTTTGCTCCTCCAGAAAATGGGCACAATAATCATGGGGAGGAGTAAATGAGTTCATGCTGGTACAACACCCAAAACAGAGCCTGGCAGGTGGAATGACGATCCTGGCTGTGGTTATTACCACCTCCTGGTGGAGGTGGGAGGACAGTGAAGGTTATATGAGTTACCGCAGATGGTGTGACCAGCACTGGGGCAGAGCAGGGGAGAGAAAAAACCAGAGCCACTGGGCCAGCGTGGGTTTCTGCGACGTAGTCCCAGCTACCATGAGCAGCATAGTGAATAACTCGATGGGTGTTGCCGGTGCCAGCTGAAGCTATATACTCAGGAACAATCATCCCTTTAACATGCCAGGTGCCCCTGTGATTCTCATTTCAAGGCCATGACTTTGCCATGACTCAGCCTTGGGGCTACACTGCAGGGCTGCGTGTAAAAGCAGCAGGTCTATACTGCCCCAAAGCGGATTTAGGCTAACCTCCAGCATCCCCTGATGTCCCAGGTTGGCCAGGACCAGGGCTGGAACCAGGCGGAGCCTTTACTTCCTGGGGTGGGTCTTAGAACCCAGGGGGCTTCCCCCTCCTCCCACAGACAGAGGATTCTTCCCATATTTCACTGATGCCAAGATGTACATGTTCACATCTGAATGTCATTGAGATCCTGGTGTCTAATCATCTATGAATGTCATGGTTTAATTAGCAGCATTTTCTAAAGTGTCAGTCAGATCAGCTGTTACCCCCACATGCCCCACTTGCTTCTCCATTCACAATGAGAAAAATCCAAAGCCCCCTCCAGACCTACAAGGGTCTCCCTGCTTAATTTGGCCTCCCCTACCTCTCCCACCTCGTCTCCCACCCTCTATCCCTCGTTCCCTGTAGCCAGCCACAGTGGTCCTTCTGGCAAAGACTCACTCTTTCCTACCTCAAGGCCTTTGCATCTTCTGTTCCCTCCTCCTGGAATGCTTGTCCCTGAGTACCTCCCACAGAAGAGGGTCTCCTGACCTCTTTGATGAATTCAATATTCCCGTTGTACCCTCTCAGGCCCTTGTTAGTTTCCTCCCCAGCATGAATCACTATTTAAAAATACTTTGTTTGTACACATGTTTATTTAATATGCAAGAAGCCTGAAGACAAGGACTGTTTTGTTCATAGCTGTATCTCTAGCTGTATTCCTAGCACAAGTACTGGCCCATAGTTGATATTAGAGGTAATTAGATGTCCTGCACAAGTCTAGGGAGTGCCAATCACATAGACTATGATTTGCACAATACACAACCCATACAGCTGTACATGGTGACCCTGGCTGGAATGATAAAAGGTGGATTCTTCAATAACTACATGAACCAGATACCATCTCCTCTGGGAATGTGACTCTGTCTGTCCTTGGCGGGTGATGAGGAGGGAGTCGGAAAGCCTGGCCAGAGAGGAGAGCTGGCAAGGCTGAGCTGCATGGCTGGGGCTCTGGTCTGAGCTCCCCTTGTCACACCCGGGACCACCCGGGGAGCCAGGCTGGAAGTCATCAAAAGCCAGAAGTGCTATGCCAAGGCCTACCAGAAGGTGGCAGTGCAGGCACTGTGTGAGCTGCAAGAGCCAGCCAAGGCTGCCTGTTCGCAGTCAGCCTTCTAGAAACTGTCACCGCTGGACTCCAGAAAAAGCCTCAGTCCTGCCATCCCCTGGGGAAAGAGGGCCAATATTTACTGTGTACTAGAAACGGGCATTGTGCCAAGTGCTTTCCATAGGCCACTGGGACGGTCCCCATTTTCCAAACGAGTAAGCAACTTTCCCAGCTTGTCAGGCGCATCTCCCCAGGCCCTGCTATCCTCTTGTTTGGGGCCTTGGCATGGCCCAGCTCGGGGGCGGGGGGGGGGGGGGGAATCATGTTCATATTGGATTTTAGGTCAAAGCCCCTCCCCCCACCCCACCCCCGCCCTGCACCTAGTTGTGCAAGAAAAGCAAACACAATACCCGGCAGGGATTCTCTCTAGCCCCAGCGCTGGGCTCTGCAGCTCTGGCAGAAAGGGGGGCTCTCCACCCTCCCCCAGCCCGCCAGCTCAGTGGGGGCCCCACTCACCTCAGCCTGAGGAGGGATGAAGCCAGGGAGGGCAAGGCCTCGGCGAGCTTGCAGGCACCCACGTCAGTGATGCTGTTCTGGGACAAGCTGCAGAGACACAGCGAGGGGAAGGGCTCAGGACCCAGTCTGATGGCCTTCCCTATCCGTGCCCACCCAGCTGGGGCAGAGCTGGGGAACTCTCACTTCCCCACACAGTGGCCTGAGCAGCAAACACATGGCTGTCTACCTGGAGGAGAGTCACGGGCAACATGCCGATTCTTAGTAAATACAGATGCTGTCCCATGCTTGGCTGGGTGGGATGTGGGAGTGATGATAAAGAGAGAGCTCATGTGCCCCCCACACCTGTTCTATGATTCGATGGCATCCTTCTCTTCCCTTTGGACCACATTTCCACACTAGACTTGACTATGTGTTCCTATTATTTGTTTAACGTCAGGTCTGTCTTGTTACTGTACTCTTGTGCCCAGCATATAGTAGGTGCTCAGTAAATACTTAAGTGGGTGGGAAAAAGACAGGAAGGAAAGGTTGGAGAGGGAGGGAGAGACGAAGGGAGGAGTGGGGGAGAGAGGGAGAGCTAGCTTATCCACAGCATCCCCCAGAATGCTATAAAACTGGGGAAGTCTCAGTGTCCTACAGTCAAAGAAATCCCAAAGCGAATCCTGCAGCCATCCCGAGCCAGTTAAGAAGTGGAGTGTGGACAGGCTTTGACAATCCCCTCTACGTTCAGTAAACGATCATGCGAATCCTCCCACATCACATCCATCCACTTCCCAATACCCAGGACAGTTGGTTGGTTTTTTGAGCCCAGCGTGAGGCTTGAACTCGACTCTGAGGCGCTCCTTTTTTCTTTTTCTTTTCTTTTTTTTTTTTTTTTTTAAGATTTTACTTATTTATTTGACAGGGAGAAATCACAAGTAGGCAGAGAGGCAGGCAGAGAGAGAGGGGGAAGCAGGCTCCCCGCTGAGCAGAGAGCCCGATGTGGGAGTCGATCCTAGGACCCTGCGATCATGGCCTGAGCCGAAGGCAGAGGCTTTACCCACTGAGCCACCCAGGCACCCCTCTTTTTTCTTTTTTCTTTCTTTAATAAAGATTTACTATTTTGATGATGTTTTAGTGACACATCCTCGTCCATTTCTCCTCTCGCACCGCGCAGCAGAACTTTGTCTCACTAAACGTTATTTACGTTCATCACTGTGTGCTTCATAATCACGGATTTATCTGTTTGCTTGTTTACTAGGAGATAGATCCCTGAGGTCAGGGACTTTGATCGTTGTTTAAAGCGGGGTCTCCAGGACCCCGAACGGTGCCTGTCCATAGCAGGTGCTCCTTCGGGATCTGATGAAATTAACCAATGAAATGACCGAATGGGTGAGTGACCGGAAGAACAGAACGCAAAAGTCCAAGGGCAGTTCCAGCACTCACTTGAGAGTCTCCAGGGCCTTCAGCCGAGGGAAGGTGGCTGACAGCTGCTCGACACCCTCATCCCCGATCTTGTTCTCGCTCAGCGAGTCCAGGCTGCAGGTGGAATCAGAGGGATGGGCTGTCAGCGCACACCCAGGAGGCCAGCGGCCTGGCAGCCTCCTCCCATCCCCCCCTTCCTTGGACACACCATAGACAAACTGTCAAGAGCCAACCAGGGGACGAGGTTCTGACTCCCCATAGACCCGAATCTTTTGCCCCCACTCCCCCCACCCCCAGCCCCATGAGGTCCGGCAACTTCCTTAACCCTCTCGGGACCACAACTATGCAAAGACCCTGCCTCCTCCTGGCGGTGCCAGGAACAGCATGGGAGCCCGGCAAGGGAAAAGAAGTTTCAGAGGTCACAAGGGGACTCAACCTTCTATGTTCTTGGAGATTCTCTCATCTGTCCTCCCTTCCCTGCAGTGGGGTCATGTGGCCATTCCCACCAGCCACACTGAGGAAGCAGCAGGAGAGGGGAAGCGAGGGAGGGACAGAGAAGGTCCTTCCGTGTGCACCGTCCTCAGGGGCAGGGTTGGGGTTATCAAAACCAGAGGGCGTCTGCGTCCATACTCACTCCAGATGCTGAAGGGAGGAAAACGCCTCGAGGATCCTCACCAGTTTGGGAAAAGCCTGGGGGCCTAAGACGGAGCCCAGCCTAGAAGGCAAAGAACAGAGGTAACACCCCCAGAACAGTCAAGGCTCCTCAGTGAGGTACCAAGGTAGGTGGAAGGCAGGTCCAGTCTGAGACCCCTCCCCCGGCCCCTCCCTGCCTCCCCAGTGCCCTCCCTCCCCTTGATCCCCACCAGATGGCACCCCAGTCCCTTCTGCTTTGCCAGACTTCACCAAAGCCCCCCTAGAGGCAGCTGGGCTCCAGGCCTGGGGAAGTGGTTCCCAAACTCTGGCCTGAGGACCACCACCAGTCTTGAGAAAAATGGCTTTACTTATCTGCCATTACGTTATTTTTAAATTTTTTAATTTAAAAAAATTTATTTATTTTTTAAGTAATCTCTACACCCATCGTGGGGCTCGAACTCACAACCCTGAGATCAAGAATTGCGTGCTCTACTGATTGAGCCAGCCAGGCGCCCCTGTGTCATTACATTTTTTTTTTCTTATATAATTTTTTTTTATAATTTTTTTTTCAGCATAACAGTATTCCTTGTTTTTGCACCACACCCAGTGCTCCATGCAATCCGTGCCCTCTCCAATACCCACCACCTGGCTCCCCCAGCCTCCCACCCCCCGCCCCTTCAAACATTTTATAACAAATAAAACCATTTATAGAGGACTTATATGCCAGACACACACCAGGTCCTTCACTCAGAGTAGATGTCATTTCATCCTCACAACTCTGAGCTAAGGGCACTTCTTATCTCCATTTTACAGATGGGGAAACCAAGGCACAGAGGGATTGACTAATTCACACAAGGTCTCACAGTGTGGATCAGCATTTACACCCGACTTCCAGGGAATGAGAAAAATAAAGACGGTGGAGGGCTGTCCTGTTCTGCTTTTAAAATATGGCTAAGTAGACTCAATGTCCATTTAACTGTCCTTTATTCTGAAATCGTGTCCTCTGGGGTGTTTCCTGCAAGAAAATGTTCATTCTTTGATAAAATTATGGTGCCAGCAGGATTTATTGTATGAACCCATTTGATAAAAACGAAAAGGTGGTAACTGCCTATAGTCCCTCAAATTTACTCTAAAATACTCTCTGTCTTTGCAATCTCGAAGTCTGGGAACCGCGAACCTTCGTAAAAGGTCACGAGGGGGGAGTTCGATGTCTGATTTGAAGCTGGGCCCGACCACGTGGCCCCAGTGGGACCATGTGGGCAAGTCCTGTCAGCCCAGTCTCGGTCTCCGCAGCATCTGGCCGCTGTCCCGTGAGCTTGCCGGCGGGATGATGGCGTTCACACATCTGACACTGACGGCTCGCCTCCTGGGGGCCAGGTCCATATAAACCTGTCCAGGACAGGGCCATGAACAAAACAGACAGAGATCCTGTCCCTTGTTCATGGAGCTGACGGTCCCGGGGGCAAGACAGATAATCAAAGAAATCGGTCGATTATCTGGCACGGGAGATAAGCAGTAATTCAGAGACTAGTACGGTGGCAGTCAGGGTAGAATGGTACTTTCAAACACGGGAGCATTTGGCTTGGTGGATACGAGAAGGAAGTGAGAGACTAGTGGCGTGGGCCGTGAAGGTGTCTGGGGAAGAGCATCGTGGGCAGAAGGCAAGGCAGTGCAAAGGCCCAGGGGTCAGACCCTGTGTAGTGAGCCTGGAGGCCAGCAAGGAGACCCCTGGGGCTGGAGTGAAGGGAGCAGGGAAGGCAGTACAGGATACGGAGGGTACCTCTTCAAGGGCTGATTCAGGGAAGGACCCCGTCCCCCCACAGAGCACCTCACGGGTTCTGAGCAGCCAACAGGGCTTATCTCCAGGCCGTGAGGGCCTGCATGGTACCAGGCACGGTGGCTGGCAGTCACACACCCAAAATAGTCCTTTCCTTCCTTCCTTCCTTCCTCAGAACTTTCTTGGGGCTTCTGGCCTCCAGGTGGCTAGTCTCCTGGTTCTGGGCCGTTCCACCTCACGGCTATTGTTCCCCAGAGCACACTTCCGACCTCAGCCTCGGGGCTTTTTAAGCTGAAAATAATTCAGAGCCAGAAGGGGCCCTTGGTGATTGTTTTCACGCATTTCCTCTTTCCAGCAACGTTTTTAATTCTGCACAAATGTGGCACCTTGTCTCTGTTAAAAACCAGAAATGCTTGCTTTTCCTGGGGTGCGGGGGAGCAGAGATCAGGAGGGGCAGGTAGCTGGTGAGTGACCAGCTGGGGACCTTGGGCAAGCCACTTAACATGGCTAGGCCTCAGTTTTCTCATCTGTAAGATGGGGAAGGCAGTGACCGCCTCCCAGATCATATGTAAATTGCACTGAGTACACTGTAGGTGTTTAATAATTTCTTCCTAATTGTTAGATGATTTTAGATCTCTAACAAGGATCGTACACGAATTTAGTTTCTTCCTTTGTTGGAGCAAGAGCCAGGCAACCATCAACCCTTCAGTCACCTTCTCCAGAGGGTCCCCATGGACTCCCCACCCCCTGGCCACTATGGGCCACCAATCACAGCAGGGGGTAACTGTCTATTTACACTAAACTTCGGGCTCATTGAGGACAGTGGCCTCAGTCAATGGACTCTGTCCACTGAATGAATGGGAAGGCGGATGTTCACCGGTAAATGGGCCACTTGGCGTCACACCCAAGAAGCTCCAGCCCCAGCCCTGGCCAGCCGATCCCCAGATGCTGGAAGCTGGCTTCCAAAAGAGCGAGACAATAGGATAAGAATGATTTTGAGGGGGTACCTGGGTGGCTCAGTCAGTTAAGCATCTGCCTTTGGCTCAGGTCATGATCTCAAGGTCCCGGGATCAAGCCCAGCATCGGGCTCCAAGCTCAGCATGGCGGAGTCTGCTTGTCTCTCTCCCTCTGCTCCTCCTCCCACTCTCTCTCTCTCTCTCTTTCTCTCAAATAAATCAATAAAATATTTTTAAAAAATGATTTTGGGGACCTATCTCCATCCCCAGTGGACAGGCCCTGATAATAACGGTAGATAAGAGACCTCACAGGGACCCAAGACTGTTCACTCCTCTGCTTACGCAAACTCCAGCTTCTTCAGGTCCCGGACGGCAGGGAGCTCTCCAGCTGTGTCTTCCGAGGAACTCCTTGTCCTGGAGAGAACGGGCGGCAATGTTAGCGGACAGCAGGCTCTTCGCCTTTCCCTGAGTCCCTACACGAGAGATCCAGGATGCCTGCCTCTGGGCCCCAAATTCCTGGGGAGGCCTGCCTTCCTTGGGGGCTGTTGTTGTCCCCTGTTAAAAAAATATCTCAGAGGGGCACCTGGGTGGCTCAGTTGGTTAAGCGACTGCCTTCGGCTCAGGTCATGATCCTGGAGTCCCGGGATCGAGTCCCACATCGGGCTCCCTGCTTGACGGGGAGTCTGCTTCTCCCTCTGGCCCTCCCCCTTCTCATGCTCTCTCTCTCTCCCATCTTCTCTCTCTCTCAAGTAAATAAATTCTAAAAAAAAAAAAAAAAAAAATCTCAGAGGGTGCCTGGGTGGCTCAGTGGGTTAAGCCTCTGCCTTCAGCTCAGGTCATGATCTCAGGGTCCTGGGATCGAGGCCCGCACTGGGCTCTCTGCTCAGCGGGGAGCCTGCTTCCCCCTCTCTCTCTGCCTGCCTCTGCCTACTTGCGATTTCTCTCTCTGTCAAATAAATAAATAAAATCTTAAAAAAAAAAATCTCAGAATAGGGCGTTATGAAGGCTGTCCTGTGGGTTTCATGGAAAAGAGCCTCGGAGCAGGTGCTTACCAAACCCGGGCCCAGAAGCACACAGTACACACAGTAGGTGGTCCAGCAATGGATGAAGACAGAATGAGAGACAGCTGCTCCACAGCCAACTTTCTCTGCCTTCTGGACCTTCCAGCTTTGCCATCTATCAGATGGGGACAGTTCTCGTCCTGGCTGCCTTGAAGGGCGGCCATCCGTGTTACTTCTGTCACTAGATGCAGAAGGCAACCTCTCTACCCTTAGCAGGGAGTGTCTGTCTGGCTCGAGCTGAGGACGAATTGGATTCATGATGGCTAGTTTTGAATGGCACGAGGTGATGGGTCCTAGCGGCTCTGCCCAGGGGGTGCCTACAGCGGGAGATTCTGGGTGGCCTGGGGAGAGCTCAGGTGTCCCCAAGGAGAGGAGAAGTACCAATGGCAAACTTAACGTTGAGTCCTGCCTGTCCTCAACCTGCATGGTCTGTGCCACCTCTCACACCCTCTCCTCCTCACCTCTGGATCTGCACGAGGTTGCCCAAGTCTTCCACATCCTTTGGGGATTTGGCCTTGAAAGGCTCGATGGTGAACTTCTCCTCCACTGCCCGGAGCAGCTCAGTCTCCCCACGCTGCTGTAGAGACTCCCACAGGCCCACCGTGTCACTCAGCGAAGCCCTGCGGAGAAAGGGCCTCAGACCCAGGCACAAGGGCTGGGCTAGACCATAATGGAGGGGCAGCTCCATGAAGGAACCTCCTACCTATTCAGACATTGTCCTCAACTTTATCCCTACCTCCTCCAGGAAGCCTTCTATGCCCACTCCAGTTCCTACTGATACCTCCCTTTTCTCAGCCCTCCCAGTGGTTTGGTTTCGCTTTTTGCTTTGGCTACCAGGGAGCTCAGTGGTGAATCCTTGGTTGAACCAGTATAATGGTACAGGACTTCATAGCTTGGGTGAAGTATATTTGGGGGGGAAGTGGGAGAGATTTTCTGCAGATGAGGCTGAAGTGATCAAACAGATCCCAGAACGACTTAAATGAGCCAAGTTAAGGAATTGGAGGGATAGAATATGACCAGATGCAAGTTCTAGGAAGACTGCTCTGATGGACAGTTGAAGATGAAGCAGAATGGATACTGATTGAAGGGCCGCCTGGGTGGCTCAGCCGGTTAAGCGTCAGATTCTTGGTTTGGCCTCGGGTCATGATCTCAGGGTCGTGAGGTCAAGCCCCACGTCTGGCTCTGCTCAGCGTGGAGTCTGCTTGAGAGTCTTTCCCTCTCCCTCTCCTCCCCCACCTCTCTAAAATAGAAAAAAAAATTTTAATTAAAAAACTCCACAAATATGGGTGGAAGACGCTGTCCTTCACGGGCTGTGTGACCTTGGGCGAGCTGCTGCCCCTCTCTGAGCCTGGATGTCCTCATCTTGAAAACGGAAGGCATCCCTTCCGCCCCCCCCCACCCGCCCGGCTACCGTGCATTCTGACCGAGACCCCACCACGGCGCCCAGCACCAGGACCAGCGCCAAGCCCACAGCAGAAACACTGCCCCCCTGCCCCACCTGAAATGGGTGACACAGCGGAGTCCCACGAGGCTCCCCAGCCCAGCAGGGTCGATGCCAGTGCTGCGGAGGTCCAGGGAGAAGTCTCGGCCGGCCGCCTCCAAGGCGCTGTGCAGCACATAGGCGTTGGGCGGTGTGAGCCGGGTGCCCAGGAAGGAGAGGCGGGCCGGGAGCCCCTGCACCACATACTGCCAGAGCCCGGCGTCCGCAGCCTCGTGGGCACAGTGCAGGAGCTCCAGCAGCCGCCCGGCCCGGAGCGTCCCGGGCTGCAGCCGCTTCAGGTACCTGCTGAGTGCCTTCTGCTTCCTGGCCCCCACCGCGGCCCCCGCCGGTCCCACCAGGGCTCCGAGGCCATGGGCGTGAGGCTGGAAAAGCAGCCCAGCCAGGAAGCGCGGCACGCCCTCCAGCCAGTTGTCATACGGCCTCTTCTTCCTCGGGGTCAAGGCCAAGTACTGTGGCAGCTCCTTGTCCTTGATCTCGGTGCTCAGAGCCAGCCACAAGGCCCCCAGGAAGCACTGCAGGAGGAAGCTGGAGAAGGCCAGCTCCGCGTCCGGGGCCCCCGGGACGGGCTGCACCAGGCCTTGGGCCACGGCCCAGGCCCTCACCTCCGCGGACGGGAACTGGCTGTCCCGCAGGGTGCCACTGTGTCTGCGGCCCAGCTCCCAGGCCAGCCTGGCCAGTCCCGCCAGGGCCCCCGGGGGGCTGTCGCGGGCCGCAGGGCTCAGCAGCCCCACGTAGAGTCCCGTGAGCGTGGAGGGCAGCTCGGCCTCACCGCCCAGCTCCAGGAGGGCCTCGGAGAGCCGGCACACGGCCCGGCACACAGTGGGACTGTGGCTGAGGCTGAGGAGGAAGGGCCGGCCATGGAGGAGCGCCAGGGCTCGCTCTCGGCGCTCGGGGACCCCAGCGCGCTCCAGGTAGCTGGTCACGTAGGTCTCTGCCTGCTCGGCGGAGAAGCCGGTCACCTCGAACAGGACGTCGGCCTTGCTGAGGCTCTGGGCCAGGCGGCCCCGGGGCCGGGCCGTGAGCAGCACAGTGCAGCCTCGCAGCAGCTTCCGCTGGAAGAGCCCAGCCAGCAGCCCCCGGAAGGAGTGCGGCTCTGTGGACACAGGTCCGCCTGCGCTGTGCAGGAGGCCGTCTTGGCCTTCGAGACCCTCGAAGGCGTCCAGGATGAGCAGAACCCGGTCGGGCCTCCTCAAGACGTGGCTGAAGACCTCGTCCGCGGGCTGTGGCTGGGGGCCCAGGCAGAAGAGCAGATCCTGCAGGCGGTAACGGTCCCCCGCACGGTCCAGACAGTGGCAGGGGAAGTAGAAGACGAAGTCGTACTGGGGCAGCTGGCCGCAGGCCCAGGCGCGGCTCACTTCCCGAGCCCAGCGGCTCTTCCCCTGTCCTGCTTTGCCCAGCACGGCGATCACCTGCGTCTCCCGCGGCCGCCGGCGGTCCCCGGCAGCCAGCAGCACCTCGGCCGGACCCCCGCGGGCCAGCTGCCGCTCTGCCCAGTCCGGGGTGGCCAGCCCCCGCTCCTGGCTCTTGTCGCCGCCCCTCTCCAGCCGCGCCCTCACCAGCTCCACCTCCACCAGGATGCCTTCCGGGTCTGCGGGCTCGGCCCGGTACTTGTCCCGGAGGGAACGGCAGAACTGCTCCACGCTCTCTGCAAAGGCCCAAGGGCGTGTGTGTCTGTGCGTGTCATGGGTGGGGACGGTGCTGGCCGCAGGATGGGCCATCACCAGCCCCACGGCCACCACCAGCATCTTGGCCCCCACCCGGTGCCTTGTGACGCAGACTTCATTCATTCATTCATTGACTCTCACACCCCTCATTCACCAGTCTTCTCCCTTCCTTATCCGCCCCTTCATTTACTCCCTAACCCCCTTCTTTAGCACCCCCGCTACAGAAAGTCCATGGGGTGGGGGGCAGTATTGAGAGTTAAGAGAGTGGAATCCGTGTATCTGGTTCAAATCCCAGGTCCATAGCTAATTACTGAGCATGTTATGGACCCTGCTATGGCTCCAGGGGTCCCCCAGGAGTCCCCGCTCTGCAAAAGGGGGATGATATTAGGGCTTGATTCCATGTATCTGTATCTTGATGTTAGGCATGATTCCATGTATCTGCTTAGAAGAGCTCACAGAACAGAGTGAGACTTGGGGCTCGATCCTGGTCTCATCATCCCACTTCCCATCACCCCGGTGCCCAGAGTCAGCTCTCTCCTTCATCTGCTCTCCCCTCATTCATTCCCTCGGCCTGGAAAACCAGATGCCAACCCCCGGCGTGGGCTTACAAGGGCGGGACCTCTGCACACATGATCTGCTCACAGAACAGTAAAGGAGCAGAGGCGTGAGCAAGGCAGCCAACAGGAAAGGGCTGAGTACGGGTTGAGTGACTGAGACAGAGCCGGATCTGGGTTTCCACCTCCTGTCCCCAGGGCACAGAGAGTCCGCCCCCTCTCACTCACCAGGCCATTTTGGAGGCTTGCTGGAGACTTCATGAGCTTCCAGGCACTGGGTAGGGGACATCTGGTCCTCTGCGGATGAAGAAATTTGGGTGAAGGGCGTTCCCCGGGGACCTTCCTGCCTCAGGGACATTCAGTCCTCTCCAAAGGCAGAACCAACGGGTGAGGGGGCTGGGGGCTGGGTCTCCCCCGAGACAATGGTCATAAGGTGGTGAGCTGAGGCTGTATCCCACTCAAAGAGGCCTTTCTTGGGCCAGCGCTGCTTTACAAATTTTAACCAGTGCTTTAAAAAGCGTAGTACCTGTGTAAAAACCGAGAATTTGCAGATTCTGTTGACCATTCAGAAGGTCCGGCTGCACTAGGTCTGGTTTCGTGCCCGGTGGCAAGTAGCGGAAGGCCAGTGGCCCAGTTTAGATGGAACACGGGTTCTCCTTTGCCCTCCACTCCGAGACCCCCCTGCCTTGTCTTACCTATAAACACAGCCTGCTTGTCCCTGGGGACAGCTTGGCTCATGGACCTGATTGAGATGATGCCTTCGCCTAGGGCCTCTGTCCTGCTTCCTTTAACTCCCATGAGCCCCCAAGGGTCCTTACCTGTTGTATTTGCACGGGAGGTCAAGGCTGGTTCTGGCATGCCAGGAAGGTCAGTTGCAGACGGAGCAAAGGGGCTGGTAGAGCCAGGCCGATCTGGGGACTTGGGGAGGCCCTGCACAGCTGGGCCATTAGAAGGAAGCACTTGGCTGGCCTGGGGCATCTCGCCTATATTGGGACAAAGGGAAGGGTCAGAACAACTAGGTATCCACCCCGGGCCCCACTTGGGTCACCCCTCTATCCCAAAGGAGGCTGAGCAGCTTGGAAAGTCTGGGGAGGAGACTGGGGAACTTCCAAAGGAAGACCTCTCAGGACAGGACTGAGGAAAGAACTCTGGAGTTACACCTAGCTCACTGCGACTTGGTTTCCCCACCTGTGAAATGGGCACAGTCTGTTACAGTAACACTCTTCGTGCTCTGCGGTCAGTGCTCATTGGTCTGGATGTCAGGTCAGGCATGTTCCCTTGCTTTGGGGCCACCAGTGCCTTATACAAAAAACCCAGCCTCCAACGTTTAAAGGATGCTCTTGGATTGGGTGAAAGTCTTGCCCACTGGCTTCATCCTCTCTCCCAGCCCTGAAAGCCCAAACGAGCCTTGCCCTGGGCAATTCACAGCTCCTCAGTGGGGGAGGTCAGCAGGGACCAGCCTGCCAATCAGGAAAGAAGGCAATTCCAAAAAGCCACGCAAAGAGGCACACAAAACCTCCCGCCACCCTAGGCTAAGAGAGTGCAGAAGAGCCTCCGTGACTCTTGTAAGCTTCTCATTTTGTTTGGCTTGTGAATGAGCAAGTATTGATGTGATTTTTAAATATAATAAGGTTTAACACAAAGGGGGAAAAAAGGCAAATCTAAGGCTTAGTGGGGGAAAGAGATAGATACATAGAAAGCTACAGCCCCTGAGTAGGTCCTTCACCCAGACCACCTCGGGGACCTCTACTCTTATGCTTTGATAGATGGGAAAGGGGGTCAGAGAAGGGTGTTCTGGGGAGGGAGGATTATGAGAAGGTGTCAAATGCTTGGGGTTGGGGGAGGACGGGGCAGGGAGTGCTCAGATAGCCGCAAGAGAGGGCAGGGTGGAGGAGGCTAGGTCTCGAACACTCACCTTGATAGATGACCATACTGGACACCCCTGTCCCAGGCCCTGAGATCTGCCAGAGCCCCTGGGGCAGAGAGGGGAGGCTGGGGACAATCTGAATGGGTCCAGCAGGAAGGCTGAGGCAGCCCAGCAAGGAACTGGAAGGGGGCACTGCAGGAGACAAAGGCAGTGAGCGCCAGTGTTCGTAATCCCATTCTCTGATCATGCAATTAAGACCTGACTCCCTCTCTAAAGGGCTCCACTGTCCCCCAGAGCAGCAGCTGTGTCTGTCCCCAGCACCCAGCAGAGTGAGCGGGCAGACGAGGTCCTCAGCTCATAGCTGATGAACGAAGACGGCTGCTGGGCAAATGCCCTCATAGGAGGGGACTCCTGGCTCTATCTCCCAGGGAGGTTTCCTGTTGAGGCACATTCTCGGGCACAGACTGAGCTGATGGGGACCCTGAGGGATGGGACTAGCTGGGAGGGATATGGGTGGCACCAACATGGGGGGAGGGTTCCTGTCCCTGGTGGGCCTTGCTGTGGCCACTTTTCAGGCACCCCCGGGAGGGAGGAAAACGCCCCCTCTCCAAGTCCCTAATATACCAGGCATCAGGACGGTCTCCTCCAGCCAACGCTGGTTGGATTCTGGCTCCTTGTTGAACACAGCAGGAGGTGACAGGCAGGGCAGTGCCGAGGAGTCGCTCACTGGCCCCACCAGGAACGTGCCAGTCACCATGGGCACAGTGACGGGCTCAGCTGTGAGGAAGAGGACCACGTTAGATCCAGGGGACCATGGGTGGGATCTGAGGGGGCGTCTGGCGGGGCCCTTCTGGGGAGGATCGCAGAAGCAGAGTGGATCTCTCTCCTGGCAGTTGGAGGGAGCTCCTGTCCTTTTCTCAGCCCTGGGGGAAGCTGTTCTGTCGGCAACTTCCCTGTGCCAGGCAGCCTTCCACACCCCCGGCCCTTTCCCTGTCACTGGCTGTTGGGTCAGGCCCCTACCACCTTCCACAGCCAGCCACTGAGCCCCTGGGGGGACCCTACGAGGCCCCAAGCACTCCCCAAAGGAGGCAAGGTCTGTCCTGTGCTGTCCCATCTGAGTGGGGCAGTTTCTGTCCTCCCTTTAGTAAGCAGATAGAAGAGGATAGACATTTGCTTTTCCCATCAGATTGGGAGCTCTCTGAACACAGGAACTACTTCTCTATCACCCTGGGGTCTTCACAGGCAGAGCTCCTGTCTCCCCCATCAGACTGGTGGTCTTGGAAAGTAGGAACCCAGTCTCTCCCATCAGACTAAGAGATTTCCGAAGGCAGGGATCACTTCTCCAGCGTTCTAGATTCTTCAGGGGCGGGGACCCAGTCTCCGCCACCAGATTAGAACTTTCTGAGGGCAGGGACTAGGCTTACCTCATTAGACTGTGAGCTGCTTCCTCACTCTGGAATAACACTTCATAATAACAACTGAGTGGGATGAGAGGGGAGGTGGAGGGAGAGGACGCAGCCTCTGGTAGGGGACGGTGAGCCTGGGGAAGAGGCTCGCTGAGGCAAAGGGCTCTCAGGAGGCCAGAGGGCTCTGGGTGACCAGCTGACCCTAGGTGACTCCGCCCTCCAAAAGGAGAAGTGTGGTCTGGGAGGGGCAGCAGAGTAAGGCAGAAAGTGGGGCCTCAACTCTGACTCAGAATTTAAGAAGGGGTGTCGGGGGAGAGGCTTTGTAGAAGTCGAATCTCCCAGCGGCCTTTAAACGGCAGAGCAGGGGCAACGGAGTCATGACCGAATCTTGGTTTGAATCCCAGCTCCGTCTCTCACTGGCTGTGTGATCTTGGACAAGTGACCTCCCCTCTCTGAGCCTTGGCTTTCCACTGCCAGTTCATTCATGGTCCTGAAGAGGCCCTGGCTTCCCTGCCTCACACTCTGCCCCCCACCTCGGTGCACCCCACCCTGCTCACCTAGCTTCCTGTGCTTCAAGTCCACGGGCAGCTCCTCTGGGAAGGCTGCAAAGACAACATCATGGTCAGCCGCCCCAAGGAAGGTGTGGTCCCGGCCATGAGGGGCCCATGAACCCCAGCAGCCCCTATGGCCTTGCCTTTAATGGCTGGGAAGTGGCCCTGCAGCTCCCAGTCCCCCCCCTTCCCCCAACCCTTGTCACCCTGCTGGCCTGCTTGTGCCCAAACCCCACCTTGAAGACCCAGGGCAGTGAGGGACTAGAAGAGGCAGAACCACAAAGGGGACACAAGACAATTATGAGTTTAGGAAAATAAAAACAAAAACAACAACAACCTGCTTTGGGGTCCCTCCCTAGCCCGGTGTTTTTGCAACAGAGCCTCTGTGAGCCCTTTTTTTTTTTTTCTTTAAAGATTTTATTTATTTATTTGACAGACAGAGATCACAAGTAGGCAGAGAGAGCGGGGGTGGGGGAAGTAGGCTCCCCACTGAGCAGAGAGCCCGATGCGGGGCTTGATCCCAGGACCCTGGGATCGTGACCTGAGCTGAAGGCAGAAGCTTTAACCCACTGAGACACCCAGGCACCCCGCCTCTGTGAGCCTTTGATCACTCATCTGGGAAACAGGGGCAGAGCTTCCTACTCTGCAGGAACGCATGGAAAATCGGTGAGCTAAGTATCGAGCAGTAGCACACTAGCGGGGGAAAAGTCCTACGCGCCCCTCAGCAAGGGGCTGCCTAAATCACGGTTCACCCACCCAGCGAAATTCCACGCGGTGCTGAAGGAGAACGAGAATGCTAACGGACCTACGGGGAAGTGTGTGGAGTCTGCAGTTTACTTTGAAATGTTCCCAATAGAAAAACGAATGGATGAGTGGGTGGATAGAGGGATAGATGGACGGACAGACAGAGGTATGTTAAGGGAAACATTTGCAGTATGATTCTTTCCCCTTTATTTCATGTTGCAAAGCTTCATAGTAAAATGCTGGGGAAAATGCTTATCAGATAAAACAAACAAAGCAAGCCAGCAAGAGGAATTCCCTGGAGGGAACCAGCCAAGTAGGCTGTTTTCAGGGAGGCGAACTGAGGGTCTAGGGGACAGGAGTGGGAGGGAGATTTTTTTTTTCCCACTGAATATCCTCGCACCTTTTGAATTTTTATAGCATGCACCTGCTTTATCTGTGGACAGATCACGTAATAGGTACAAGTCTGATATGTGGTCTGGAACGTAGTAAGCTCTCACTCGACTGTTGAGCCCATTTTACAGATATTCGCACTCGGTGGACATTTACTGAGGCGCTACTGGAGGCCCTGTGCTAGATCCTGGGGGTGTAGTTCACGAGGAAGGAAGACAAGATCGCTGTTCTCGCAGCAGGGAACCAGGCAAAAGGCAATAAATTTTAAAAAGTCCTAATGGTGACAACTGCTAAGGGACGAGGAGAGACACACACAAGGTGAAAATCAGCAAGGTGATCCATGTGGAAAGGTGGTCAGGGAAGGCCTCCAGGAGGAGGTGACATGTTAGCCAAGACCTCAAGGATTCATAGGAGCCTGCCTTGGGAAGAACTGGGAAAAGGGTGTTCCAGATAGAACCTCAAGAGCCAAGGGCACGTGAGGCCCTGAGGCTGGAAAGGGTACGTGAGTTCTAGGAATGGTAGGAAGCCAGTGTGGCTGGAGTGTCCTGCCCCATGGCAAGCTTGGAGAGGTGGGAAGGGTCAGATCATATCTGCCTTGTGTATGTATTTGGTAGCCATTGGAGGGTTAGCAGGGCAGCAAAATGATCTGATTTGCATTTAAAAACTGATGGGATAAAAAGATGACTGCCAGTAAGGACAGATTAAGTAGAAAGGGAGACAGAGTAGGAGGCGCAGAGAGGGATAGGCACTTGCTCAAGGCCACAGAGTCCAGAGATAACAGACCCGGACTCATACCCAGTTCTTGCTGACTCTAGAATCTACGGTTGAAGACACCTCCCTCAAAGACAGGGGTGACAACTAAGGATGAAAGAGAAGCCAGAGCCCAAATGTCCCTAGAGACACACCTGGAGAATGGCCTTAGCACCAGGGCTGTCTGCTTCCTCCCTGGGTCACCAGGGAGCAATGGTGAGGGGAGTGGAGGGTGGGACATCCAAACCCAGGCAGAGCAGACAGGACTTAACAAGGGAAGCCACTGGGAGCCACAGCAGGCTCTGGAGCCAAGGCAGGGCCAGGAGTCAAGCAACCTGAAGTCAGATCTGAGAAGGGCTTACTCACGTCTTTTCTGACTTTTCTGCCCTGCTTCCTCCAGCACCTCCACATTCTCGCTGATCATTTCTTCCAATCCTATGTGCTCGACTTTGGGGGGGAAAAAAAAGAGAGAGAGACTGCAACACACAGCCAGCGGATGCCCAAAGTGAGCCTTCATTGTCCCTGTGCTGGGGCAGGATCTGACCATCCTTCGAAGGGAGGTCATCAGGTTGCTCGCCAAGGAACAAGGAAGGAAATGCAGGCTGAGCCAAGAGTCCCCCAACTTACTGAAAATGTCTTTGCCCAGACCATCCAGCTGGGAGTCCTGAAACACGTACTGGTCCAGTTCCGCTGCCCAGACAAGGAAAAGAACAGTCAGTCAATGAGTTTTCTGAATACCCACTGTGTGCCTGGCCTTGGGGTGGGCACCAGGGAACTGTGACCCTCCAGCCTTGGCATGCATGGGGCGGGGGGCTCAATCAGCGTTTCCTGACTCAAAGATCAAATTAATGAAGGAACCCTGAACCTTCATGGGCTCTCAGTCTAGTTGAAGGGATGATACACATCCATGAAAACTTAACTATTGCTGTAAAGTAGTACAAGGCAGTGTGGTAGAGTTGTCACGGGCTTTAAGTTTCAATCCCAGCTTGACCCCCGTTAACCCTACTAGCTGTGCAAGCTTGGACCAATGACTTAACCTCTCTGGGGCTCCACGTCCTCAGCTGTGTAATGAGAATAAGAAATGCCTACAACCCAAGGATGCATGGTGAGGATTAGAGGCTCTGCCTCTAAGTTAAAGCATCAGATACAGTAGCCAGGACATCACAGGCACTTAAGAAACAGTGGTTCTTTTTATCAGATGGTACATGACTGGGAGCCCAGGGAAAGACAGCTGTCATGGCAAGAGGGCAGAGGAAACAGTGTATGGCAGCATGGATCTGTCAGGGAGGGCTCCAGAGGGAAGGGATCTCAGAGCCAGCCATTGAAAGATGGTCACAGTCAGAGAGGTGGAAAGCGGAGGGTTTTGGGCAGTGAGGACGGGGTGAGGAAAGGTGTTTGAGAAACTCAGAGACAGGTGTCTGCAGGAAAGTTTCATGTTGGGGGAAAGGTAGGGCTTGGTTTTATCAGCAATGGAGAGCCATGAAAGGGCAGCAGTGACCTTGATATCTCTGATGATGGTGATGGTGGTAGTGGGGTCAGGGTGGGGGGGCACCTGACTCACCCTATGCAAATTTCTTTCTTTCCTAAACACTTTACACAGAGAAACTCATCCAATCCTCAGCCATCCCACGAGGGAGGTGTGATTATTATACCTACCATGCACATATGGAAGCCATTTTCTACATATATTTCAAGATGCCTCAAATGATTGCACGCTCAGGCCAGAGCCTGGCTTTCTAGAAGCACAGAGAAAGCCCAATGATTTGGACGAAGCTTCCCCCTTCCCTTGCTTTGGCGGCTTCCACTTCCTGCAAAAAAACCCCCTAAATCCTAAGTAATGCTCAAATCCTTCATCACTGCCTCCAGCTGTGAGAAATACGAAAGTCCTCAACACCAAACACTTCTGCTTCCTCAAGTAAGTTCCCAAGAAGGAAAGGAAGTGGGCAGACGTCTCAGTTCTGTAATTTTTGAGACACACAGTTACTACTCTCCATTCTCCACTTTGTGTGCTGCAGGATTAACTGTGGACTGGGGAAAGACTGGCCACATTCACGCTATGCACGACCTCCCGAGTTATGTGGCTCTTGGGTTGCCAGGAAAAGGGCCACAAAGAACAGTTGTGCAGGTTCTGCACAAGGTTGCCCAGCAAGAGGAAAAATGGGGGTTGTATCCTCCATAAGAGGGGGCATCTTTTTCTAACTCAACAGAGACTCTATGAGATAGTCATAAGGAGGGAAACTTTACCCCACTCCCCTCCAAAAAACAAAGGCAAAAACCAACAGCAACACCTCTCCCCAGAGTCCTGCCCTTATTTCGAAGTAGTAGCCCTTTTTAAACCTGCAGATAAGCCTCTCAGCTTAAGCCTTAGAGAACCTCCCCACCCTAGACACTTTCCTCTTCATGGTTAAAAAGAAGGACTTTGAAATGAGAAAGACCTAGCTTTCAATCTCGTGGCTGACCATTGCTATCTCTAATGCAGGCTTGGGTAACATTCCTTTAACTCTCTAAGCCTCGATTTCCTCCTCTGCAAAAAGGAGATATTAATAGGATCTATTTCCTTTGTTGTTGTTGTATGGATTCAATGCAGTAACACACATACAGTGATCAGTGAGCAAAAAATGAGCCCAAATGGTAGATATTACAAATACTAGAGTCATTTGGCTTAGGAGCTAGGGAGAAGACAGGGAGGGGTATATGGTATGGGCTGTGTGGAAGGAAGCAAGAAGAGCAAGAAATAAAAAAAGGTATAGAACTGGAGGCAGAGAATATAAAAGACTTTGCCTGGTGGTCATTGGGCAAGAGGTCATCTCCCCATTTCCCTGGAGTCTCTTTTCTAGCTCTTGCTCTGCAATCCCCCCCCACCCTTGCCCTAATTTATGAGGGAGGAGCTCTCTGTGACTTGTGGTGAATGGGTGAGGTTAGCAAAAGAAAAAAAGGAACTCTTCCCCTCGACTGGCCTTTTTCTGGGTTCAGAATGCTTCCTCACCGATATTGGCATAAGCCTCCCTGGTCTCTTCATCACCTTCGATGTCACACAACAGTTTGCTGAACTGTTCGCAGTTGATGGTGTCCATGTCGGGTTCTGGAGGGAAAAGCCCCACGGATGAAGCAGGAAAAGTCTGGGAAGAGGGCTAGTGGGGAAGGAAGGAGAGGCGGGGCGGGGCTGGGGGGAAGTCCCCTCCGGAAGCAAACGAGGGCGCGCTTGGAGCTGTCCGTGGTGCTGACCAGAGCTCAGCGGTCAGAACGTCGCCTGCCCAGCCTCCCACCCCCCCAACCCCCAGTTGCTGAGGGGTGAGGAAGGACCTGGGAGGGGCCTGAGCAGGGAGAGCCCACCTGAGCAGAGCTCAAGCTCTTCTCTAGCCAGGTCCGTCTGGTCATAGAGGTGGTAGAGCTGCAAGGGATCAGCACTGCTGTTGAGAAGCTCCAGGTACCCGCCTTCTAGAGGCCCCAGCTCCATGGCAGCACAGTGCCCACTGCCTGGAAGGGAGACACATTCAGTCAGTGCAGGGAGCATTGGAAAGATGTAGAGAATTAACACCTACCACAGTTCCTAGCTGGGTCACCTGGTGAAGGCCAGAGTTTGGGAGAGCCGGAGAAAGCGAGCAGAAGTGCTCATTCGGCACCTCTTACACACTCCGGGCAGTGGCGAGAGGAAGTCCTATCTCCTTCCCCCAAGGAACTTATAATCACTCTGGGAAGATGCCCACCATACAGGAAAGGGAACTGGGGAAGTGTAGATTCAAGACCTCTTACACCTGGGAGCCAGGAGACTCCGGGTCCAACTCTGGCGCTGCCATGGTAAGAGTCGAGATCTGTAGAGCATCTACCATGTGCCAGACACATGGGCTGGAACTTTCCATTCTTACATCAAAAACCATATGAGGTAGATACTCTTACTACCCTCACTTTTCACATGAAGACGCTGAGGATCCGAGAGGGGAGGTGACGGACCTAAAGTGACCCAGCTCCACGTGGAACTGGGATTTGGTGCTGGGCATTCTGATACAAGCAGATGCAATTAAGTGCTATGATCTATCACCTTAGCTGATCTCGAACAAGTCTCTGCTCCTCTCCATGCCTCAGTTTCCTAAGCTGTAAATTGCAGGAGTTGGGGCAGATTCTAAGATTCCTCATTTGGTGAAGGGTGTATCAGATACCTTCGATTCTGCTTCATTCAACCTTCCAAACACCCTGGACATGTCCATGCAAAAACTAGTATGTGAAATTTCATAGGTGCATAATTCATAACAGCCAAAACAGGGAAACAACTCAAGTTTCTCTCAATAAATGAATCAACAGGGGCGCCTGGGTGGCTCAGTGGGTTAAAGCCTCTGCCTTTGGCTCAGATCATGAGCCCAGGGTCCTGGGATTGAGCCCTGAATCGGGCTTTCTGCTCAGCAGGGAGCCTGCTTCTCTTCCTCTCTCTCAGCCTGCCTCTTTGCCTACTTGTGATCTCCATCTGTCAAATAAATACATTTTTTTTAAAAGATTTTATTTATTTATTTGACAGAGAGCGATCACAAGTAGGCAGAGAGGCAGGCAGAGAGAGAGGGAAGCAGGCTCCTCGCAGAGCAGAGAGCCCGATGCGGGGCTCGATCCCAGGACCCTGAGATCATGACCTGAGCCGAAGGCAGAGGCTTTAACCCACTGAGCCACCCAGGCGCCCCAATAAATACATTTTTAAAAAAATCAACAAAAAGGGATAAATCCAAACCATGGAATACTATGCAGCCAGAAAAAGAATAAGGTACTGATACAAGTTACAACATGGATCAAACCTGAAAACATGATGATCATCGAAAGAAGCCAGACACAAGGGGCCATGAATGGTATGATCCCATTTATATGAAAATGCAGAATAGGCAAATCCTTACAGATAAAGTAGAATAGTGGTGGGCTAGGGTTGGGAGAGAGTTGTGGAAAAAACAAGGGGGCAAATAATCATGGAGGTGGTGTTTCTTTTGGGGGCTGTCAAAAACGTTCTTTAGCGAATGTGGGGATGGTTGTACCACTGTGTGGATATACTACAAAGACCACCAGTGGTGCATTTTATTTTATTTTATTTTAAGATTTTATTTATTTATTTGACAGACAGAGATCACAAGTAGGCAGAGAGGCAGACAGATAGAGAGAGAGGCGGAAGCAGGCTCCCTGCAGAGTAGAGAGCCCGATGTGGGGCTCGATACCAGGACACTGGGATCATGACCTGAGCCAAAGGCAGAGGCTTTAACCCACTGAACCACCCAGGTGCCCCCCCAGCAGTGCATTTTATTTTATTTTATTTTATTTTTTATTTATTTATATGACAGAGAGAGATCACAAGTAGGCAGAGAGGCAAGCAGAGAGAGAAGGGGAAGCAGGCTCCCTGCTGAGCAGAGAGCCCGATGCGGGGCTCGATCCCAGGACCCTGAGATCATGACCTGAGCCGAAGGCAGAGGCCCAACCCACTGAGCCACCCAGGCGCCCCCAGCAGTGCATTTTAAATGGGTGAATTGCACGGGACCTGGGTGGCCCTGCTGGCTAAGTGTGCAATTCTTGATTTCAGCTGAGGTCATGATCTCAGGGTCCTGGAATTGAGCCCCATGTTGGGCTCCCTGCTCAGCAAGGACTCTGCTTGAGACTGTCTCCTGCTCTTTCTGCCCTTCCCCCTCCTCCCTCTCCCTCTCTTTCTAAAAATAATTACTTAAAAAAATAAATGGGTGAATTACACACTATGTGAATTACATCCCAATAAAGCTGTAAACACAAAACAAAAACCAGCCTGGGAAGATAGGCATTATTGTCTCCATTTTGCAAATGAGGCCAAATAACATCGCTGATAACACGCAGCTCTTTCTGGGTAGAACCACTCTGAAGCCTCATGCACTTGCCTCGGGGCTCCTGTTCCACTCCCTAGTGGGTTCATTTTCCAGACCCGCTGGAGCAAAGCACCACAAACTGAGCAGCTTAAAACAGCAGAGCCTTGGGGCACCTGGGTGGCTCAGTGGGTTAAGCCTCTGCCTTCGGCTCAGGTCATGATCCCAGCATCCTGGGATCGAGCCCCGCACTGGGCTCTCTGCTCAGCAGGGAGCCTGCTTCCTCCTCTCTCTCTGCCTGCCTCTCTGCCTACTTGTGATCTCTGTCTGTCAAATAAGTAAATAAAATCTTTAAAATAAAAAAAAGAAAAAAAAAACAGCAGAGCCTTAGTCGCTCACCATTCTGCGGGTCAGAAGTCCAAAACCAAGGTGTTGCCAGAGGCTCTAGGGGACAGTCCTTCCTTGCCTCTTGTAGCTTCTGGAAACCCTCAGCATTCCTTTCCTTGTGACCATGTGGCCAGATCCCTATAGTCTCTGCCTCAGTGGTCCCATCATCTCCTCTGCATGTCTCAAACCTTTTCCCTTTCTCTTAAAAGGACACTTGCCTTTGGATTTAGGACCACCCGCAAAATCCAAGATGATCTTATTTCAAGGTCCTTAACTTGATTACACCTACAAAGACTCTTTCTCCAAATAAGGTCACATTCACAGGTTCTAGGGATTTGATGTGGACATATCTTTGGTGGGGGGGACATTCATCCTTCTAGACATGAAATGCAGACAATTGCTGGAAGGACTCAGAGTTTCTTAGAAGAGGCAGGAGGGGAGCTGGCCTTGAAGGCCAGAGGATCTGCCAGAGCCTTCTGAGTGCCCCCGCCTGGGCCACAAGAAAGTGGAGGTGAAGTGGGAAGGATCAAAGAGGGGAGGGTCAGGGAAACACACACACACAATTCACCACTACCCTCCAGCTGCTTCTTTTCATTTGACTCATTGAAAAATCTCACTCCCTATTGGGGGGTCTCTGCGCAGACCCTGGATATCACAGAAAATGAATTTTCCAATCCAACATGGGGCCCTGGCAGGGGCTGTCTCTGGATAATGGGCTGGGGGGTGGGGGGTTGGCTACAGGAACCTGAACATCACAGACTTGCCTCAAAGGTCCATCCAGCCATGACTGGAGGAAGCAGAACTGAAAGATGGGGCCCCCACCCTTTTCTTGTCATGAAGCCAAGCCTGGGGTTGGGGGAAGGGGAAGGAGAACTCCCACTCCTCTCGGCACAGTAGCCTGAGAATTAGAGAAGAAATCTGTTCTTTCCTGGAGGTAAAAGAACCCCCTCCCTAAATCTTGCCCACTGCCTTCCTCCCCTTCTCAGTCTGTGGTATTTAGGGACAGCTTACATTGTAGCCATCTGCCTCTTTTTCCAAGCAGCCAGATCTGGTGACAGCAGCTCTGGATTGAGCCCAGGCATTTCACCAATGAGTTGGGTAACTTTGGTCAAGTTTCCCATACTGTTTATTCCCAGAGTAACGGGTCTGCCAGGGACCTCCAAGTCCAACCTCCTTCACTTTACAGAGCAGATGAGACCCTGAGAAGGGACGCGACTTGCTCAAGGCACCATTACCTGTCCCTGGCCAAGCCTGGACCTGATCTCCCCCAGCACAAGACTCTCTGTCCAGTGCTCTTTCTTGCCAATCAGAATGTTTCCATTCAATGAACAACCCCCATCATATCGAGGCCCAGGGTTAGGGAGGAACCAGCTCCTGTCACAGACGGGTGATGGCAGGAGGTGTCAATGGGGAGGAGCCTGAAGAATTGTAACCCAGCCTCACTGTTGAGGGCTCAGCTTCAAACTTTGGACAGCCTTCCCAAATGCGATCAGACCCCAGAGAAACACATGGACAGAAGAGAAACAAGCCAACTTGTGTGAGCTTTGGAGTCAAACTGCCGGTCTCTGAAACCATTCCCACCCACCACAACTTGGGCAAGTTCATTTTATCAACCTCCTGGAGCCTCAGTTCCCTGATCTGTAAAACGGGAATCGTAATCGGTAACTCATAAGGATCAGGGGAGTTAATTATCCTAAAGCCCTCAGAAAGGTGACTGGTGCTTAATGAGCCGCTTGGTGAATGGTGGTTTAAAATGGCATCCATCACGTACATGGTGAGCAAATGCGGAGGATGGCCATCAACATCACTATTATTATTATTAATGATTATTAATTTGCTTCTAACGTCTGTGAGGTTGATGAAGGAACCCCTTCTCTTTCATTTCTCCATAAGTCACAACATTGCAAAGCCAAGCTTTCTGTTCTTTTACATAAGGAGGACCCACAGACCCCACAAGAACAAGAAAGCCCCCAGAAGTGCAGCCTGGGAGGTCTGCTCATGTCCCCCATGGCTACCACTGAGAAGGTGACTAGAGAAAAGTCACCCACGGGCCCAGGTTCTGTGTCATTGGCTAAACCCAGATAATAGGACGTCTACTCTTGGGACGCCTGGGTGGCTCAGTCTGTTAAGCATCTAACTCTTGGTTTCAGCTCAGGTTGTGATCTCAGGGTCTTGAGAACAAGCCCTGCATTAGGCTCCATGCTGAGCATGGATCCTGCTTAAGATTCTCTCTCTCATTCCCCCTCTGCTTTCAACCATCCCACTCATGCACTGTCTCTTTCAAAGAAAATGAAG